GGCTTCCTCGGACCTATTCCTGCAAGAATAGGGCTTTCTGTGGCCGGAGCGAAGCAGAGAAGGGAGCGAAGCCCGCCCTTCTCCGCTGCCTCGCTCCCTCCCGTCTCCGCTGCCTTGGCTCTGCTCTCGTGTCTGCTGCCTCGGGACACTCCATCAGCAGCAGAGTGGCGAGGCTGAATTGGCTGTCGGAGTGGATGGATCGTGCCTCACCGCTCGCCCCTGTGGCCCCCGGCCAGGTTGATAGGCCCAGACACCGCAGTGGTGGAGGAGCGGCGAGGCTGGATTGGCCGCTGGAGTTTCTCCGCTGCCTCGCTCCCTCCCATCTCCGCTGCCTCGGCTCTGCTCTTGTGTCTGCTGCCTCGGGACACTCCATCAGCAGCGGAGCGGCGAGGCCGGATTGGCCGCTGGAGTGGGTAGAAAATTCCTCACCACTCGCCCCGGCGACCCCCGGCCAGGTGACAGGCCCGGACACTCCAGCAGCGATGGAGTGGCAAGGCTGGGCCCGCCCCCTGGGGGCAGATCCAGCCTCGCCACTCGCCCCCCCCCCCCTGCCTCTCCTGCCACCTGCCTGGCCAAAAGGCCTGGACACTCAAGCGGCGGGGCTGAGGGGACTGGGTGCCGCCATCTTTGTGATGGAGTGATGGTTAATTTGCATATCACTCTTTTATTAGATAGGATTACTAGTGCCCCCGTGCATAGATTCGTGCACATTGAAAGGAAATTAATTAGAAGGTAGCCAGTGGGGCAGGACTGGGTGAGATGGGCCGGACACACCCTGGAGCCAACCTCCTGCAGTCCCTCCCCGGCTGGCTGCACCTGGGGTGGCACTGGGGCTCAAAGGGCGTCTGCAGAGTGAGCAGGGTCCCTCTGGCAGATGGGGTCCCTCGGCCTGGCCTGTAGGGATCGGGCCGAAATTGGCTCTCTGACATCCCCTGAGGAGTCCCAGATTGCAAGAGGGTGGTTTTCAAGTGACACACCCCAGAATTGTGCTCCCTCCTCTCTGGTTCTGGGGTGCATCACCTGAGAACCACCGCTGCCAAGTCACCGCAACTCGGCAGCTCCTGCGTTGAGCGTCTGCCCCCTGGTGGTCATTGCACATCATAGCTACTGGTCAGACTGTCGCTTAGCCTTTTATATACATAGATTGTATTATTTTCCATACAAACAACTGTAAACCTACTTTTGCCACACCCTGTATACAGCTTTTTAGGGACTGGTTTCTTTCACTTAGCAAAAATACTTTTCAGGCCTGACCAGTTTGGCTCAGTGGATAGAGGGTCAGCCTGTGAACTGAAGGGTCCCAGGTTCAATTCTGGTCAAGGGCACATGCCCAGGTTGCGGACTTGATCCCCAGTGGGGGTTGTGCAGGAGACAGCTGATCAATGATTCTCTCTCATCACTGATGTTTCTATCTCTCTCTCCCTCTCCCTTCCTCTCTGAAATCAATAAAAATATATTTAAAAAATACTTTTCAGATTCATTTCTGTTGTTGCTTCTATCAGTTTTTTCTTCTTATTGTTGAGCATTTTCCCATTATATGGATAAACTATAATTTGTCTACCCAGTCAGCATTTGATGAACATTTGAGTTATTTACAGTTTTTGGCAATTATTAATAACACTGCCATAAACACACTCTGAAATCAATAAAAATATATTTAAAAAATACTTTTCAGATTCATTTCTGTTGTTGCTTCTATCAGTTTTTTCTTCTTATTGTTGAGCATTTTCCCATTATATGGATAAACTATAATTTGTCTACCCAGTCAGCATTTGATGAACATTTGAGTTATTTACAGTTTTTGGCAATTATTAATAACACTGCCATAAACACATAAAAAGTTTTAAGCAGACATATAGCTTCATTTCTCTTGTATAAATACCTTCAAAGTGGGATTACTGGATTATAAGGTAAATATGTGTTTAACTTTTTAAGAAACTACCAACTTGTTTTAAAAATGTCTGTCATTGACAAGTAGGAGTGCATGAGAATTCTCATTGATTGCCTCCTTGTCAGACCTTAACATTGTCATATTTTTAATAGATACATAGTGGTATCTCATTGTGATTTTAGTTTACCTTTTCCTAATGACCAATGGTCATTTCATGTGCTTATTCGCTATCCATCTCTCTTCTTTGGTGACATGCCTCTTAAAATCTATTGACCATTTTTCAATTGAGTTGCTTCCTTATTATTGACACTATTCTTTATATAAACTGAGTATTAGCCTTTTATCAAATATGTTTTTCAAATATTTTTCCTCCAGTCTGGAGCTTATCTTTTTATTTTCTATTGAAGAGCAGGAGTTTTAATTTTGAATTTATCATTTTTTTCTGTTATGGCCAGTGCTTTGTGTATTGGGTCCAAGAAAATCTTTGCCTAACCCAGGGTCACAAAGATTTTTCTCCTAGAATGGTTACAGTTTTAGGTTTTACATTTAGCTCTATGTTCGTTAAATTTATATATAGTGGTAAAATGTTTTAAATTGAAAAAGAACATTTATATGGAAGAATATACAAATCACAGATGAACACTTCAATGAGTTTTCACCAACTGACCATGTCATAGCCCAAGAAACAGAACATGACTAGCACCTAAGAAAACCTTTTGAACCTCCTTCTATGAAAAACTTTTTTGGGGGGGTGGGAGGACTTAATTCTCACCCAAGTATATTTTTTACAATGATTTTTAGAGAAAGTAAAGGGAGGGTTAGGGTTAGAAGGAGAGAAACATCAAGGTGAGAGAGACACATTGACTGGTTGCCTCCCACACATGCCGTGACGGGGACTGGGGATTGAGCCTGCAACCAAAGTACATGCCCCTAACCAGAATCGAACCCACAACCCTTCAGTTTGTGGACTGATGCTCTGACCACTGGAAAAAACTGGCCAGGGTTGAAAAACTTTTAAGCAGAAAAGTGACAAGAAGTATTTCTCCTGGAGAAATGACTCTAGGGGGGATATGAAGGGTTGATTAGCGTCAAGAAATTGTTGCATCTTGTTGGTTTGTGTTGGGGCAAGAACCTCAGCACCTACAACAGTAACTACACTGCTCTCCAAGACGGGTGCTTAATGTTTCCTGGGCAGATTGATCCTCTATATGAATACTGCAGCCCAAAGAGCAAATGCAAGTCTGGAGCAACTCCATGCAAAATTCACAAGTTAAAGAGAACAACCAACACACATGCTTAAGAAAAATGGAAATAAGATACTGACCTGAGCTTGGATTTTGAGATGGCTTGACTGAAAGAAAGACAAAAAGAACATCATTCCTATTAGGAAGGCTTAAGCATATGCTCCCCCACCATGTCAGCTGAGCTATCGGAAGAGCCATGCACAGCAGCCTGGCTCAGCACCCCCAGTACCCGCAGCGGGCTAGCTAGGGTATTTGCGGAGCAGTAGCGAGGTGCTGCAGGTCCAGGCAGGCCAGGCTGAGCGCCTGCCCAAGCCCTGGCAAGAGAAGGCTCTTAGCCAGATGCTGTGAGCAGTCATGGCACAGGCAGTGACTCTACGGGTCCTTCTCTCCCCAACCTGTGTTCCCCAAACTGAAGTCCGGGGGTCTCTCCTGCCTGCAACTCAGCCACTCATCTCAACAGCAGCATGTGCTGCTGCTCTAGCAAATGGAGCACTGGACTAGGAGTCCTGGCCCTGCTATGCACTAACTGCGTGAGTCTGGGCAAGCGGCACACCTTTTTGAGCCTCTGTGTTCGCATCTGTCAAATGGGGTGGACAAGCCCATTTCCCGTCTACTTTCCAATGTGGTAGGGAGGGCAGAGCAAGAGAAAGGAGGCAAATTCACTTTGTAAACTGCTGAGTATCCTGCCCATAACATCATTTTTACACAGCACTGACCAGGAGATCGAATTCTCTTAAAAACAACACCTGCATTTTGCAGAGATAAGACCTAAAAGATACCAGATGGAAGCAAACAAAACAAAGCTGCAGGGGTCTCCCCCAAAGCAGGCTGCACTCTGCACATTCCACCCTGCTGGTCCCCCCACTGCTGCAGTCCAAATCCTCTAGTAAAAAGCCAATGGGGGTTAATGGGATGGCGCCCTCCACTGTTAGGAGGGGGTGGTGCAGGGCTCCTAAGAAAAAGTGCGGTAAGCATAGGACAGGGTCTGGCCATCCAGCCGCTGTGCATAAGATTGAGAGAACCCAGGAGCGAAGGGAAACTTAAATATTCTCATCAGCCACTCTGCCATACAAGCTCTTCTCCAAAGCACTGATGCCAGCACCAGCCCAGGAGGAGAATCGGGCTTTACCCCCACCGCAGGCACCCAGAGGGCCCGGCCTGGGCCGCGTCGCTTCTTTTCCACCAGCACCTAGTGGACACAGTGGAACAGTGGGTTACCTGGCACACCCTGCCGCAAGTGCTCAGCAGGATGGCTGCTCTGCAGGAGGAGGCAGGGAGGGGCCCCGGGTAGGAGGATGACCAAGGGGCCCAGGGTGAGCCCACCCGCCCCTCCTGCCCCTGAGGCTATGGCCCCCAGGCTTCATGGAAATTTGGGGTGTCTTCCACATATTTGCTTCCCTGAGATGATGATGATGGCGGAAGCCAGGAGGGTAAGCTGCCCCCACACTCACCAGAGAGTTCCCCAGCAGCCTTGGTTCTCGCCTTCGCCACTTACGTTCTCCGTGTTCACAGATTCCGTCTCGCTGGTTGGCATGCTGGCTGTGGAGGGGGAAGGAAACGCTTCAGAGAGCGCACAGGAGGCGCTGCACGCCCCGTAGGGGCCGGTGTGAGATCCGCCACCAGCAGGCCCTCTGGGAACCTGGGAGGAGGTTAATGAAGGGCCCTTGGGCGCTGGACCAGCACAAGGGCTGAGAAGCCAGCACCTCCACGCAGGGGAGCCTCTGCTGCCATGCCCTGCCCAGCAAGCCTAGGGCCCCATCAGGAAGAAATTCTGTCCATCCAGACGTTTCCCGAGAAGAGCAGCCTACGGACCAAACAGGACCCTGCCCTGCGCTTGGTACCAGCTTATTCTCCTGGTTTCCAGGTTTGCACCGAGGCCACCAAGACATCTCAGGACACCTTGCCTGCCCCGGCAGGTGGACTCTAGAAAACCTGTGGATAGACCAATACGTCATGAACACATTCTTATTTTAAATATATCCGAGGGGAGGAGCTGTGGGTGGAGGAGTACAGGAGGTACCAGGCACAAAATCTTTTGAACAGTTTAAAACCCTACTCAGTTGTAGTTAACTTCTCTGATCTCTAAGACGTACCAGGCACAAAATCTTTTGAACAGTTTAAAACCCTGATCTCTGATCTCTAAGATGTGCTGAGCTTGTGAAGCCATTATGTAGAGGCTCTCACCACCAAAGCCGGACGAAAGCACTAGGGAGGTCTCCTCCCACCCGTGACCAGGGCAGAGCTGACTGTGGTCCCAGCGCCACCAGTGTCCCTGGGCATGCCTCACTCCGCCACATCAGGGTCCTGAGCATAAGCGGAGAAAATGTGGAAATGCACCCACTGGTGTCGGGAGGCCCAGGGACCCACCCAAGCCACCATCTGGCGCTTGGTTGTTTGTTTGCATCCACTGGATTCAGCCCCATAAACATCACGAGCACGTGCTGGAGACCAGGTGAAGGAGGTGTGGGCACCCAGAGGGGCACGGCACTGGCTGCCCTGGAGGGCCAGGGGGAGAGGCAAGCCCCAGCTGGATTTAATTAACTGTGAAATACAGAAATATAGACTCCCCCTTACCCCCCCCCACCCGCCCCCGAGGGGCTGGACAAGGAATCTGAAACGTGTAGTACGCAGCTGCTGACCCTGCCCGGGCAATAGACATGGTGTGAATGACAAGGATGGGTGAAGGGGACCTGACTCAAAGGGCCCAGAGGTCTGAGAAACATCTGTTCTGAGAGCGACAGAGAAGATCCGGCTCCTTCTGTGAGCACCCAGGAAACGGAGTCTGCTGGGTGGGAGTCTCGACAGCCAAGTCCAGCAACATGTAGGCCAAGGTTTCAAAGGAAAGGCAACATGGGCAGAATTCTAGACCCACAGCACACAACCGGTATTCTCGTGGAATAACCTTTTTCTTTCTTAGGTAAGTCGAAAGAAACCAACTACAAACTTTGATTTACATTCTCACAACTCCATGCAAAAATAAAGACAAAACAAACCAACCCCCCGCCCCCCGAAAAAAACACCCCACAACAATCCAATCATGAAAAAACCTTTAACAGAAAGTTCCAGAGAGAGAGGGAGAGAGAATCTAAGATGCTCCTGCAATTTGTCCCACGACTGTCCCATGCCTTGGCTTCAGCGAGAGACTAAAAATTCATAAAATTCAACCAAGTTCATTGTTATGGGTTCTTCCCATGGGGCCAGTCTTCTTTTCAAGAACAAGACAAAGAACATCACAGTGGGAGCTCCTTATAAACATGACCACGAGCCATCTCTGCGCCAGCTCTTCCTAGTGGTCTGAGGCCAGAAGCTGTGAGCACTATGACTCGGGGTGGGGACTGTGGGGTCCTCAGGCCCAGGTGGGTCCTGACTCCCAGCGTTAGTGTCCTGATCATGCCAACTCCACACGCTCAAAGCTCACGTCCGTCTCTCACAGTAAACTACTTCAAGGTTCTGGTATTACGCATATCGTAACTTTACTTATTATTTCAAAAAGAGCAAACATCTCCTGAACAGGCTGAGTCTTGTGGCTTGTTATTCTCTGGGGCCATGTCCCATGATGCGAGCAAATACAGTTGCTGCATTTCATTTCTAAAGCTTCATTTTCAAACAGTACGACTGAAGCAGATTACAGTGCATACTGCCTGTGGGGAGGGGGCGTCCCTTTGCATTTCTGGCCGGGTGCCAGCTAGGAGTGGATGAAAGGCACGAGTTCCTCTCTAGACTAAGTGGGGGAAAGAGAAGAAAAAAAGCCAAACTCCCCCAGCAGCAGCACAGAGACACTAACTGGGTGGCCCAGCTCCAGGGCTTCCCTGGAGGGAAGTCCTCCTGCCTCCATCCTTCATGTGGAGGGGATGGTGGCTAAGAGCAGGCTCTCGGGTCAGCCAGATCTAACCTTAACTGCATGTTTGTGACCCGAGTTCTCCAAGGCTCCACGTTCCCATCTGCAAAATGCGGGTACCTACATCTCAGGGCTGGAGTGGGTCCCCTCATCGTGGGTTACCCCGGTGGGTCCTCAGTGCCAGGCAATCACGAACGGCAGCTCTGTCATCTTGGCAAAGCTCTCGCGGGGCTCTCTGGACGCAAAGCAACACTCCCCGTGTGGCCCAAATCCGGTGTCGCTCCCCCGACCACCTCCATCACTGCAGAGGCCTCTGGTGTGAAGTCTCCCACACTTGCCGGCTACTCTTGGTTGGCACTTCTCCTGCCCTGCACTCAGCAATTTCTCTCTAACTTAGCCTGTTGTGGGGACAGCAACTTTTCCGTTACAAGTATCTGACACCTACAGAGCCATAATAAATGAGTCTATTCCAGAAGGATGTCGCCAGGGCTGAGGCGGGTGGAGGGAGAGAGGGAGAGGACGGTGACTATGCTAGAATGGGGTGACCTCATTTGGTCCTGGACATGGACCTTGGTCCAGTTCCTGATTCTGAGCAAAGGATCCAGGCTCCGGCTGGGGCCCTGGCAGCCCTCCTGTCCGCTCCAGCCCCCCACCCACCCCCCCCCCCGTCCCTGCCTCAGGACGCATTTCCTCCTCTGGAAGCACGGAACACACCCGGCCCCGTGGGCATGAGCAGGAGCCTGTACGCACATTAAAGCGTTTCACCCTTCACTTGCACTCGACATTCATTTTTTTCAATGTTAATTCATTGATACGGGTCTCCCTTCACTCAACCCCAGTATGATCTCCTCTGTTTTAAAAAGGAGGACAGGGGCTCCTGAGATTACATGCACAAACTCTGTGATTTCACAGATGAGAGCGCCGACCAGCAGCCTCAGGCACACAGCTCAGCGTGAGAAAGCTCTCCTGCTTCCCCTCAGCACCCTTCCCACGTGCCACCCGCCCTGTGGCTAGGGCACACACTTGAACAGACTGGTGTACACTCTGATGTTGGTATATGCTGGTATGTACGGGGGGTTATACTTAAAATGCCACAAACTGAAAAGTCCCAAAGGCCAAGCAAGCCCCTTATCCATCAGCACTGGTTCGCTGTCCTAATGACCTCGATTAACCCCGAGAAACACGACATAGAGCCCGACCACTTACCACAGATCAGCCCAGAATGGAGACAGCACAAAATTCAAGCTGATAAGGTGATCGTTTAGACTTTATAAAAGTCCAAACAGAAAGAATTGTAGAAACCCAAGTAAGTAAAGCCACAGGCAAATGACTGAACACATGCCTGTCTCCCTAACCCACTGCACTGTGTCTGCTTCAGCGGGGACCCGGTGTTGATGGCTGACAAGTGGCCAGGCCAAGCAGAGAGACTCCCGGAGCCCACCAAGTCACCTGCCTGCACCAGACCCTCCTGCAGAAGCAAGCAGGGACCGTCTGCATGTGGTGACGCTGTCAGTCCTTCTACCTCACACACTCCAGGGAATTTTCAGAGCTCTGTCGAGGAAGTTCTTATGTTTTTAAATATAAACTTAAAAACTATTTTCCGTGAATCTGGGTGAAACCGGGCATTAGGACAAGCCTGATGCCTTTAAGGGGATGCTGGCTTGCACTGCAATTTACCTGCTGAAAAGCTGGGGAAGCTCACAGCCTCTGCTCTGTGGTCTATTCCAGGCACTGGGGTCTCTGGGAAGGGTTCCAGGATGGAGGCCTAGGCTCTGAGTGTGAGTGCACTGTGGAGGGGCCCCAAATGCTGCTGTCAGTGAGGAGAGGAGGCGGGGGAGCAGCCCAGCGCACCCCGGACTGTAGATGAGAGATGCCAGCCTGGGTCACATTATTTCTAAGATCGTATCACTCGGCCCCGATGCCATCCTAGGCAACGCCACACAAAATAAACCAGAGAAATACACTTTCTCTGGCCAGCACAACAAGCATTTTCATCCCCAGTAAAATTGTTCATTCCTCTCTCTATTCTCACTCTGAAGGACAACATACCTTGCAACAAAATCGGCCTGGCTTGTGAATTCAGAGGGAAATTATAGACAAACATACATGTGCGTGCACACAGACACATAACACACAGTGGATGAGTCTGTGCATGGGTCCAAGTAGGCAGCCCCAAAATTATGTTCACCATTAACAGGCACAGCAAAATCTCAGACCAACTTCCTTCAGTGATGGAGGCTAATTCAGTCTTTGTCCCTGGCGATGTGGGGACAAGACCCTTTCCCTCCTGGCCTGGGTCACCTAATGTGGAAAATGAGCAGTTGGGTAATATCATCTCGGAGACCCACTGACCTCTGACCTGCTGCAACTGTGTAAAGAGGAAACGCCCACAGGCTGTCTGGTTTGGCTCCCAGCACCAAGGGGTTTTCCCTGGCGTTCCCCGAGCTCAGCAAGGGGAGCAGGGAATGAGCAGGACTGGGAAGCCCCTTCCCACCCCTCTGGAGGGTCGCCAGAAGTCACCTCCTGGGGCCTGGAGAAGCACAAGGAGCAGCAGCCCCCGAGAGCCCCGAGCCAGCCAAACTGAGTCCACAGGTGTCCTGGCCTCCAGGAGCCTCACTCCTGTCCGCCTCTGTAGAGCAGGCTTTCTCGCAGGCTTGAGGATTTGTCAGCATCTCCCTCCATGTCCAGCAGCCTAAAAGCTTCTCACTCCTTTCAAAGGAAGGGTAAGGGGTGAGGTTGGACAACCGAGCGGTGGCGGGCATGGCTGCCTTCCACGGAGAGAGGGGATCCAAAGCCAAGACCTTGTGTTTTTATCTTCTTTCCATGACAAGCATGCGCAGTGCCATGACAAGTCCTGAGGAAGGTGCCTGTGCTTGCTGGTGGTGACATGCGTAGCCATCACCGGGTAACAGATTCTTGTTGCTGTAAAGAAGCCAGACTCTTCTTGGAGAATGTGGGTCAAGGCCAGACCAAGGTTTCCGTGTCTGAAGCAAGAATTACACCCTGACGATGACTATTTCTATGTGACCAGTGACATGGGAGCACAGCATCCACACAACAGCCTCTGCCCAACGTCAGCGCCTCCCTCGGGGACCCTGACTGCCTCAGTCAAGAGGAGACCTCCCCTGCTCAAAACACAGTTTCCTGAAAATGTGATGCTGCGTCCTCTCCCTGCAGACCTCTCAGAAAGCTAACAGAGAAGCCTCAAGCCCTGGCTGAGGAGGGGAGGGACCCAGAAGCCCAAAGCGGGGTCCCTTCTGGGGACAGAACCCACTCCTCTACTCGAGGCCACCTCCGCAGAGCTGCAGCCCACGGCCGTCTCTGCCAGCGTGCTTCCCTGCATCCTTGACAGTGCTTCCTGCTTAGCTGGAGCCCCTTTTCCCTGCGGAGGCCCCAGCAGCTGCAGCCAGCCCAGCCTCTTCCTGGAAAACACATGAGCTGAACAAGTCGGCCCCGTCTCCCCCTCGCCCCCCAACTCCCTGCCCACTCACTGTCAGGCAAGGTCCTACTCCTTGTCCTCTTCCCCCTGGGGCCACAAGGGCTCTCGGAATAGTGAGGGGCTTTTATCCGACAGCCTCTGTCCCTTCCCCTTCGCAGGCCTTCTGCTGAGAGCAGGGTCCTCATACAACCTCCAGCCAGACCACCGTGGCTGGTTCCAGCCCAATTCCCGTAACCTCTGGGCTCAGCGTTCCCACGGTCACTCCTGAGAAAACAGGGCTGCCCGCCCCTCTGCTCTCTCACAGCTGGCTTTGTGTGCCCGCAGTCTAACTCCTCTCAAACAGAGTCTGCCTTCCTGCAGAGCGGCCTGAGCAGGGCCGATGGGGTGGCAGCAGGTAGGGGACTGCGTGGTGTGCAGAGGCTGCTGTGGGACCACAGCGGTGCCTTGGCAGGCAGACAGGGTGCCAGTTCCCAAAACTGCCCTGCACCGGTATGGCCCTGATGCTAACCCCAGGGTTCCCATTGAGGGGCGATGTTTAGCGTTATTTTAGACCATAGCTGGAAACTTCACTACTTCCCACCTGAGCCCTTTCCTCATTCCTCCTCGCAAAGGCAAGGACCCAAAAATCTTTGCCTCCTAGAAGTATGTATATTTTTTTATTGATTTCAGAGAGGAAGGGAGAGGGAGTGAGAGATAGAAACATCAATGTTGAGAGAGAATCAGTTATCGCCTGCCTCTTGCACACCCCGCACGGGGGATCGAGCCCGCAGCCTGGGCATGCACCCCGACCGGGAATTAAACCGTGACCTCCGGGTTCATAGGTTGACGCTCAACCACTGAGCCACGCCGGCAAGGGCCTGGAAGTATGTTTTTAACTTCTGGGTGAAACAGGCCTACTAGCTTGAACAGGGTCCTGGGCAAACCTGCCAGGGAGTGCAAGACCAAGAGGCCACCTGAAAAACGTACCCTGGGGAAAACACCCATCCAGTTACATCACTGGACTCTCATCTACACGGGAACATTTTAGATGAAAAAGCAGCGTTGTGGGGAAAGTGTTCAAAAAAGTCTGTCTCCCAGACTAACACTCTTCATGCTGGATTAAATACATTTTCTGAGTTGGATCAACTGCCTCTTTAAAAGGTACAGTTCACGCGGAAAGGAGATTGCAATGCTGTCTTGGCAAAGACAAACGTTTTGGGGAAAGACAAGAAGAAAACAACACGAGCAAGTTTCCAAGAAATCAAGCAAGTAAAACACACAGGCACCTGCAGACGCAGCACACGGACATGCACGCAACCCCCCTCTGCAAGCAGAGGCGTCAGGGTCTCGGGGAAGAGCCTGCTGGAGACGGAGTTCCGTCCCAGCCATTTACCGTGATCTTTAGCCCTGCGCTGGCGAAAGCAGAACTTCCTTTTCTTCTTGTCCTCTTTTAGCAGGTCGGCCAGGGTGACCCCTTCAGGTTGAACACAAGCAATTTCATTACGGTTCAGTAGAGGGCAGCAAGAGCACCGCAAACAGGGCCCCAGGACCCGGGAGGTGCAGACATCCACAGGCTCTGACACGCAAAACCCCAAACTGTCCCACGAGGAAACCTACCGTTTAGGGCCTGGCCAGGGAGCGCAAGCGCGCATTTTATAGCGAGTATACGAAATACCTGTCTTTAAGAACCTGTCCTAAATAACCAACCAACTACAATAAACAACCAATCTACCCTGTCTAGGCAGAGGTTTCCAGAGTCTGACCTCCCCTTTACGAAGGGTAAGAAGGGCGTTAGGGAGTGGGCACTTGGAGGGAGTCAGGAGTCCTGGGTGCTGACCGGCTGGCTGTTCGAGCCCAGCCAGTATTGCTATCTGGGGCAGGACACCTGGGTGCTAGAAGAGTAGGCTCTGGACTTGGACAGATCAGATCTAAACCCAGCCTGAAACTTTCTGGCTGGATGACCATGGGCGGGTTACCTGATTTGCTTAAGCCTCAGTTTCATCCTTCATCAGATGTTAATAGCGGTCGGACCTGCACTTCACAGGGTTGCTTTCAGAGGAAACTAGCAAATGCGGTAATACAAGTGGCATGCTAGGCTTTGGCAAGGCGCGGTCAACCATTATGACTACAACTCCACTACCAGGTCACGAGAGAAGTGACAGGGTCTGTGATACGGTGGTCGCTCCACACGGGCTAGTCCTTATTGCCGAGGCCACATGCTCCAGGAAGGGACCTGCAGAGGCAGGTGGAGCTGCAGAAGGAACGCCGAGTGGGCGAGGGCCTGCATGGACCCATCCGTGGGAATGTAAACTGCTGTCACTTGGCATAGCACCTGTATTTCTAAAGGGCATGCTCTTTGACCCAGAAAAAACCTTTCGGATGAGCTCTCCCACAAGCACGTGAATGTGTGGGCCTAGACACAGGTGCACGCCTTTGTGGGGATCAGCGATGGCTACGTGCAGACTGTGGCAGAACCTTGGGTTCAAATCGCAGCTTTGCCACTTGACAGTCATGGGACCCTGGGGAGCTCCCAAACCTCTTCATGCTTCAGTTTCCTCACCTGTCAAGTCCTAGTCTCACAGAGCTGCTGAGGAACAATGGGTTAATGCAGCCCCAGCCCTTAAAGCGGTGTCTGACAGGGGAGCATTGACAAATGTGAGATGTTACTCTGTGTTCTTTCATTCAACAAATAACATGGGACAAATACTGCCCCAGGTGCCAGCACAATGAAGAGCAGAAACAGACCCCGTTCCTGCCCCCATGGTGCACAGTCTCACGGCACAGAAGACGGCCAGACGGTCACACCAACAAGGCTAAAACTGCAACCCTGACAATTCCCACAAAGCGGAGGTCCATGTGCTACATACAGTCCATCGGGGCAGCTTTTATTGTGGCAAATTATTGAAAGTAGCCAAGGTGTTGTCTTAAAAACATGGAAAGCTGTCTATGGCTCACAGCTCAGAGCCAGCTGTGCTGGGCGATCTCCTGGTGGGACCAGGGGGCCAGCTGTGCTGGGAGATCTCCTGGTGGGGCAGGGGGCCAGCTGTGCTGGGTGATCTCCTGGTGGGGCAGGGGGCCAGCTGTTCATGCAAAATCCTGTGTCCTTATTCCTTCTGGGAACAAATGAGATCGGAAAGAGCAGGCCCCCACTGCCAAGTCTGGTTCCCTCTCAGAAGAGGGGCAAGAGAATGTTATTTCTTGCCTTATATACTTTGATATTATATGGATTCCTTACAGTGGGTAAATATTTCTTTTGTAATTCAAATACATTAAAAGCAGAAAAAACAACCCTGACTGGGACTCGGTGAACCTGGCAGGAGTGCCTCCTCCTCCCCGTCTCCAGCGGGGTGACCACCCTCCACTTCGTCTCCCTCCAGCTCTTAGGAGGCTACACACTGCTCCCAGGACCACCCAGGGGAGCCGGTGTCTCCCGTGACCCCAGCGCCCGGCCCTCCCCGGCCAGCCGCTCTGGAGGACGGCCGCCTGGACCCCCGTCTGCCACATGCAGCTCTAACTGCTGCTGTTTGCGTTACAGCTTTTAATTGAAGGTTTTTCGCTTGGAACTTGTGCCCTGAGGTAGTTTTCTTGAGATGAAAGCCGTTTCAGAAATCAAATTTTGAAGACATAACCCTTTGAAATAGGACCAGAAAATGTCCATGCTGTGTGCTTGCAAACAGCTACCCCATCACTCTTGTCTGCCCAGCCTCAAATCAGACACCACAGTAAAAGTCATCGGGGTGGCAGGTGCGGAGGGAGGCGATGGCCATGGCCACCTGTGCCCCGAGGCCTGAGGGGCAGGGTCCCAGGGGAGGCGGGCAGGGGCGGCGCTCACAGCCTCTGCCTGGGCCCCTGATGAAGACTCAGGCTCTCCTTGTGCTCAGAGGTGGCGCTTCAGGCATCCCCGCCCTGCCTTGGAGCATCAGTATCGCCTCTCACGGGGATTGTCGATCACTCACAGCTCCCACCGTGAACTGGCCCGGATTTCTGGCCCCAACTTCAGAATGAGCTCCTTTAAAACCATTTCATTATTTTTAATGCCATTTTTTAAGACTAATCACTGACAATGAGAAGAGTTTAAAATAGAATTTTAGGCTTTCAGATTTTAATGGCCCTAGAAAAACCCCATTGTTCACTCGGAAGCAGCTGCATACGTCTAAAAAATCGCTTGGAGATTTGGCAGGGTTTCTTACGGAATCTGAAGCTCAGCAAAAAGTTAAATTATCCTTGAAAATTTCCCAAATGCTCAGGAACTAACTTCCAAGGAAATTTTGCCCATTCAATTAATTGTGTGATACCAGCTTTCTAACAGCAAATGTATGGGGCTGACATTTTAGGTAAGTGGTCTGTGAACGCAGGAAGCCAGGGCCACAGCCACGCAGCCACCACACGGCGCGGGAGGGACTGTCTGCCTCTCCGTTATCTTCTTTCAAGGTTCAGCCTAGACCAGTGTGCTCCTCAGTGGGGGTGGGGCTGGAGGTGGGGGGCACTCAGGAGTTCCCAGCCTGGCTTTACATGCAACCTCCAGGAGACTGCACATAAAGCCGCGTCACATCGAGTCCCATCACTGACCAACTAATCAGCGAGGGGGTGGGGGCGGCATCGGGAAGCATTCGAGCTCCCAGGGGGTTGTCACGTACAGTCAGAGTTGGGTACCACGATGCAAAAAATTACATTTAGAAGATCAGAAAGAAAAGATAATCTGCGCACAGGTCCGAGCACTTGACATCTGTCCTCTGACAGAAGCGTCGACCCACTAGATGGGCTTCGGCAGCCAGAAAGCTGTGCCACGGTATCTCGAAAGTGACCAGGTCAAGTTTGTTCTCCATTGCGACTGGGAACCTTATGGTTTCTAAATAGCACAGTGTAGGGACTTGGTCCTAAAACGGGTCCTCACCCTGAGGCTGGGCAGAGGTCCAGTAGCATCTGCAAAAATAACTCTGTTTCGGTCAAGTTCTACTGCAGTCTGATGGCAAGAGCAGCAGCACGGACCTACAGCTGTGGTGGCTCCTACCAGCTATCGAACCTTTAACCCCCATGACAACCCTATGGGCGAATATCTTGACCCCCTTCTTGCAGACAAGGAAATGGGGCTCAGAGACGTTGGGTAATGTGCCCAACACTCAAGTCCAACTTCCAAGTCACAAAACTTAGCCGCAGCCAGCTCCAGGGAAGGGGCGTCAGAATGACCTCCAGCCCAGCGCCCCCTCCGTGGGCTCGTGACTCCTGCTGTTGTTAATGGCCTCCTCTCCTCCCCTTTGCTCCTCTCAACTGAGCTGGGCCATAGGAAGGACTTCTCACACTGTCCCCTAATTCCTCAGTGTCTGGGGAATCCCATCCAGTCCCCACCTGAGAAGGGCAGTTGGTGAAGTCAGCATCCTAAAGCGTGTGGACAAGGTCAGGAGCCCTGTGTGGCATCCCCTCCCCTTCCCCAGATACAAGGCAGGAGCAGGCTGGCGTGTGAGGTGTGTGGGCATGGATCTGACACACCCAAAGGGCTGGCTGGCACCAGCCATGCCCACACTTCTCTGCCTGCTACCAGATGGCAGAGACCAGGCCTGGGTGTGCAGGTGGCAAGTCAACCTCTGTTTGTTGGTGAAGAAGACTACATGGGCCTGTTGAAACCCTCTCTCCTGTGGTTTCTGGCTGGGACAAGAGGAAAATGGCTAGTAGCCACAGGAGGTCGCAGGGAAACCCACAGTGATGTTTTTCCAGGTCTGAGCTGCTGGCAATACATGCAGGGAGGCCCACTTCCTCGTCGGGAGGAGAGTGGGGCTCTCTTAAGTCAGTTACACCCCAACGTGTTCCCACAGCCTGGGATTTATGTCTGCATTTCCAACCCTAATCATCAGGGCTCTGAGCTCTGATGACTCAGGAAAAACTGCGAGCCTCGCTCCACGGGAGACCACAGCACCTGGCAAACGAGGCTGACGAATAACAGGGTGCCCCACGAAGGATGTGCTATTCTGGATCAGACGCCTGCCCAGCTGGCTCCGCAGGCAGCGTCACGCATCACTGTGGGCAGCAGGAGCCACCAGGATGATGATCCTGAGACCCAGTGCAGCTTTAGGGGCCTGGGAGCCCCCGCTACCAAGTGAACTCTGAGGATCTACAACTTTTGAAGGGCATTTCTTTCCTTGATTATCTTACTAAGTGATGCATTTAAGGGCTTTCAACTTTTGTAAGCTTCCTCACCTGGTTCATGCCCTTTCCTCAGCCTGAAAAGCGAGGAGGCTCATCCCTCAGAGCTCAGCAGGATCCCCACCTCTTCCACGGAGCCTTCCCTGCATTCCCGCTAGCTGAACCGCTGAGCCCTCTGGCTCCCGCAGCAGACTGCCGGCCCTTGATTACGGCGCCAGCTTGTCCACTGCTTTACTCTGAGGCTCCGCTTCCCCGTCTTCCCTCCACGGCGAGGTCTCCAATGGAAGAGGCACTGATCGTGTCATCAGACAGCAGCAGGACACAGGAAATGCTGGGCTAAGACACAGCGTGGACCCGCAGGACTACCAGAAGGCAATGCCTCAACTCCACAAACATCCCTACTCCCCAATCACAGGCCATAACAAGGGTCCCACCACAACTGAGGCTGCCAACACCACATGGGTCCCTGTCTCTTTCTGGAGGTGGAGCAATAGAGATGAAAGGCCATCAGCCTGCAAGACCGCCTCGCTCAGCTCCCTACAGGACACGCCTAAGAGAGCAAAGAAAGGCACTCTGCTGAGAAGAAGGAAGGGTGCCTTCAGCATTTTACACACAAGATGCTAGGGGCTGGGCTTAGGAGAAGGGGGCAGCAGCAGCGCTGGGGTTTGGGAATGAAGAGGAAAAGAGCATGGCAGGCACTCCCCAAGCTGCACACAAGTTGCCTGCCACACTGCAGGTGGGAAGGCCCTGGGGACTCAGGCTGGCTCTAACATCTGGGAGTGCTGTGCCGAGGACATGCAGACACTCTTATACCCAATCACCTAGAGGACACCACCGCGCTGGGAACTTAAACTTCTGCTTATAAACTCTGATCTCAAATTTGGCAAGCACAGTCAGCACTAGAAATCCTCCTGCAATTTCCTAATCCTTAGGTGGTGAACACCAGGCTCTTCCTTGAGGAGCAGTGGGTGAGGTGAGACCTGGAGGAAGCAGGGAGGGGGAGGAGAGGAGAGCAGCCTGAACTCCATGGCTCCCCCATTGGCACACAGGACTCAAGCGATCATTTGCATCCATGGCAGCAGGAAACCCTCACTCCTTGTGGCATCACAGCCTCAGAGTGCTGGGCTAGAAGTCACCGAATGCCATCTCAGTCAAGAAAAGAATCCCCTCCAGCATGGGCCTCAGCCCCCACACTCCACTGCCTACAGAAGCAATACAGATTGGCCTCATTCTCCCTGCTTCATGTCTCCCTGACCTGCACACCCTCTGGGTTCCGGCCAAACCAATAGCCCATCGCTTCCTCCTTAAGCCTTAGTTTGCCCACCTCGATGTCCTCCTCATGCCATTGCCATGGCTCAGAATGTTTCCTGACACTGAGCTGTGACATATCTCAGATCCGACCTTCAAGGCCCAGGCCCAATGCCTCCACAGCTCTCTCCTACAGCCCTTCGTCCTCTCAGCCCCCAGCACACCGCCTGCCTCCCTTCCGACCGGTGTCTCTGTCTCCTTGCTGCACCTGTGTGTGTGCAGGCATGGCCTTCTGCAGAAGGAGCACACAGCCTCTCCATCTCAGGAGTCCTCCCGGCATCAGCACCGGCCCTGCTGAATGAAGGAACGACTGCATGACGTCTGAGGGGATCCGCTCACTGGAGCTCCCTCGGCCGTCTTCTGAGAGGTAGTGCCTAGCTTGGTCTCCCAGGCCTCTTGATGGACATACACCTCTGCAATAGGTTGTCGGTCTTTACTACCAACTATTCTAGATCGAAAACAAATCACAAACATCTTAGTCAAATCCACTGCTAAATGTCAGCACGCACTTTACCCGAGGCACGGGTGGCCTCAGGAGAGGAAGAGCACGCCTGTGAGAAGAGTCTATGGTAAGACTATGTCTATGGTCTTGATTGACATTGACAATGAATTCCAGTGGTCGACTGAGCACTGGGCCTTGTTACTGCAGGAAGTGCTGGGGGTGCCTGGTGTCCATGTGGGAACCCTGAGGGGTTGGCTCCACAGCAGCCACACTGACTCACACGCCTCCTAACGCTGCCCAGAACTGGCTTCTTCCCAGCCCCGAATGGGCCAACCATGTGGCTTCCCCTGGCTGGCACAGGTGGGAGCTGCTTCAGGCAACAGAGGGGTAGAGAGGGCCCCTGCTCTCCAAGTTCCAATGACACTGCTCACTAAGGGGAGGAACCAGAGCTTTGTCTCCTGTGATGCAGGTGAATGGGCTCTTCCCACACCTGGTCCCACTCCGAGGGGCTGACTGAATCCCTGAGGCGATGGGTGAGTCTGTCTGACCCTCTGCCACCGTAAAGCCACGTGACCAGAAACAACTCTAAAACCCACCCCTCGGCAGAAATTCAGAGGCAGGTACATGCACTTGTGCTCTCGGACGTGCAGGCAGAGGGAACCGATGGCTGAGGGGCCCTGGGTCTCAGGCCGGGTCATGGGGCAGGAATGCCAGCTGCCGGGCAGCTCCGCATCGCACACGCACTGGTCAGGAGTGGGAAGGCGCTACATACTATTTCGCTTGCTTTCCTCTCCTCCTTCCTCCTCATTCTCGGGATCAATGTCTTCCGCCTGGGTGATCCAGTCCAAGTAGCCTTTCAGGTCCTCTTCCAGCTGCTGCTTCTCCCGCAGTTTCTGGAAATCGCCCCGGGCTTTCGCCTTCTCCCTTTCTTTTGAGAATTCTCTGAGGGGGGCAAGAGAAGAAGCACATGTCAGGACCCCGCGGAGACCCGCAGCCTGAGCCGTCTGCCCTGCGGCACCAGGGGCTCGCGGCAGGACACACGGCACGAGTGCAGCCACACGAGCACAGCAACAGGGCCACACACGTGGACAGACAGGACAGTGGCTTCCCAAGCAAGACTGTGAGTGTGAGAGCTGCAGAGACTACCCCACACACATGCACCCGCTCCTAGCAAACAAACTCCCTCCAGGATTCCAGAGATTCCCAAGGAGCCTGGGCCAAAAGCACCATGTGCCCTCAGGGCAGGCCTGACACCTCCCACCCCAGGGGCCTGACTCAGAGCTCAGAGGTGCCCCCTCCCCATCCCCCCCCCCCTCCCGCCAGCCTCCTCAGATAGCAGGCATCACACTTCAAAGAGAAAGGACCCAGGAGAGTCAAGGTGTGGTCAGAGAGAGCACCAGGTCAGTGTTTCTGCAACAGTTCCAGAAACATAACATTCCTAATGTGTGCGCCCCTCTGTCCCATACAAGAGCCCTGAGAGGCGGAGCGGTCCGGGCTCCCTCCCACCACCCGCGGGTTCCGGAGAGCAGTGGACAGACTCAGGGGAGACCCGCCTCAGCCCCGGTCCCCCATCCCAGCCAGGAAACGGAGCACTGGTGAGGCACCACTGTTTGCTTAACCCCCTGCTTGCCATGATCTGCCCCCAAGTCTTCCTGCAGGAGGTGAGAGGCAGTGCGGTCTGCTGCCCGTCTCGAGGAGCACCTGCCCTGGAAAGGCTTGGCGGACGTGTCCATGTTCCCAACTGGCCGCCTTCACTCCGCCTTCGTGTCTGTACTCCTACATCTATGCGCACACACAGAACCCCGCATTGCTCAGCAAGTCTGAGAGTCAGGTGGACGATTACCCACTCTCATATACAAGGAACCATCTGCCTTTCCAGCCGAGAATTGTTCCAGGAGCCAAGTTATGTGAGTTGCGGATTAATAAGTATCATGAAAAAGCTGCTAAGAAAGATGAGGTTCCAGGCAGCGCAGCTTCCACGCACAGACCCCTGGGTTCCGATCGAGGTCACATCTACCTGCCTCTGCCTTCCTCCCAATCCAAAGCCAGCACATCTCCCTTTCAGGGGCCTCATTAACCCAACCCCAATGACAAAGGGAAACGACCTGCTTACAGAAAGCCAACCCCCATTCTCTCTCCTCGCCCCCCTCTCAACTCTGGGCTGTGGAGGGCTGAACAGATATGTGAACAGCCAGTGACGCCGGTACTTAAGATAAGTACCTGGCATCCTTGCCATGGCTTCACCCTCTGCCCACAGTTTGAAAGGACTCACTCATTGCTCATCACCCACTCTTTTGATGCTCCAGAACCTCTGCTTGGCTCCGTGGGGGCTGGTCCATCCCCATGGTCACCCTCAGGGAAGCGAGGAGGGCAGGACTGTGCTGCCTCCTGGGCCCGGATCCCAGAGGAGCGCCCTCCAGGGGTCCGCAGGGGAGCAAAGGTGGTGAAGACCCTGAGATGTTGTCTGCACTCCCTGGTCAAGGGCCTCTCCTCCCGGGGAGAATACCTTGTGTCTCAGAAAAGAAGGTGCGAACCATACCCTGAGAAAGGACCCGGAAGGGCCCAGGTGTGGTCAGAGAGATACAGGACGTGTGGAACTCGGTCCTGGGTAGATTCACCAAATTCATGTGAACTTCAGAAAAACCGCACCCAATCCAGAATCACATCCCTGAACAAGAGGAGGCCCTGGAGTGTCATGTGTCAACATGAAAACGTATTATGTAATGTTTCCTTAAGCACACTGTAAGGAACAAGCATGTGGGCCTTCAAACCCATTGTTACCCAGAGCATCCAAGTACAGATCTCTGGGCATGTTCTGGTTCTGAACTTAGAGCACTAAGCATGCACGATTACATACAAACACCGTATTCTTATTTCGGTTACATATTCGACCTGAGTTCTTGAAAAAAAATGACCAAGATAGTGAAAGAGTTATCCTGGATCTCTTACCCTTTGAGGCAGCATGGAAGGACCTGGAGAGTATTGTACTAAGTGAAATAAGCCAGTCAGAGAAAGAGAAGTATCACATGATCTCACTCATATGTGGAATCCAATGAACAAAATAGATCCAGAGACACAGAAGCATGGAACAGACTGGCAAACCTCAGAGCGAAGGTGGGGGTGGGGAGGTGGATGGGAGAGAATAACTGGGGAACTTATATGCATATATTCATAGCCCAAGGACATAGACAATAGTGTGGTGAAGGCCTGGGAGGCGTGGAGGTAGAGTGGAGAGGGTTCATGGGGGGGAAAAAGAGGCAACTGTAATACTTTCAACAATAAAGATAAATTAAAAAAAAACAGTTACCCTGAAATGTAAGGGAGGTTTGCTTTAATATCATATTTTATGAAGTTTTCTTGCATTAGGAATACAGAAACCCCTCTCTAACAAGCTGCATCGCTGTTGCCCATTTTGGGTTGTTGGGGCGTGGAAAAGCATGCATGAGTAAATTTACTATGACTAAAATTTCTGAGAATGAAAAAGACTGCCGGGTCCTGGCTTATGGCCCCTTTATTTTAAATAATAATAGTCACTGTTACAAAAGTTCATATAACAAAACGTTCACAGTTCTGAAGGGCCGAATACTTAGCAGGCATCAACATTCACTGATCTGGACAGAACTAAGATGTACTGGGCATGAACCTCCCCCTGCCGGCTGTGAGGCAGGTGGAGGAGGAGGTGCGGGAATAAGCCGGCTGCCCCCTCAGTCCTCCCAGACCACACTGGGCGCTGTGTCTGAAGGCCCGGATGGAGAGCCAGCTCGTCCGCTTTTCTTTTCTGAGCTTCAGTCTCCTCATGTGCAAAGCAGACACAAGACCTGCTCTACTGGTTCACAAGGATTAAATAAAACATTCAATGAGATGATTCTGTGGCACTCACAAAACCCTGTACAAATTTGGAGTTCAAATGTATACTATTTAGTTGTGGAATCTGGGCCTAAAAGAGGCGATTGGAGGAGCTCTCTCAAATACCAAAGGGAGGGAAACCGCCAACAGCTCTGCCTGGGCTCTAAGCCATATGACCCTTGCAGAACTGAGAAGCACGAAAGGACACATAAGATCCAGGGCTCAGAGGACGTGGAGGAGCCCCTAGGTGCCCGTCCACCCTGTCCTGCCCTCACTCAGCCCCATCACAGCAGACCTGCCACTCCAGGAAGTCTCACCTGATTCCCGGGACTTCTGTCTGAACCTCACACCAAAGTTTTCCCTTTTGTGTAAGAATGCGTCGTTTTAGAAGCCTATTACTAAGGGATAAAATAACAGTCACTATTACAAAAGTTGATCTGACAAAGCTATTGGTAGAAACCATCAGACTTTTACAAGTGACTAGAGATCTGACAACTCACGTGTGATAGAAGCCTACTTGTTCCAGATCCAAATTCTGTTTGTTTATGGTGCAATCCAATGAAGAAAGATATAGGAGGGGCTGGACCAAAAAGCACACAGCATGCTACCCTTTGCATACAAGACAGAGGAAATACGGAAACATGCATATGTTACTACGGGATGTTCCTGAGGATAAAGCAGAAAATAAGGGACAGGGACAAATGGAGTAGAGGGGATAAAGTAGGAGTGGCAGTTCTAAGTATAGCTGCTGTTTTTATAGTTTTGACTTTTAGAATCATGTTAATGTTATATACGTTAAAATGTTTTGAACAGGTATGAGATGGAGGGAAAATACCCCTAAAGCAGAAGCAAATTAAGAGACAAATGCATCTGCCCTAGCTGGTTTGGCTCAGTGGATAGAGCGCAGGCATGCGCACTGAAGGGTCCGGGGTTCGATTCCAGTCAAGGGCACATGCCTGGGTTGTGGGCTCGATCCCCAGTAGGGGGTGTGGAGGAGGCAGACAATCACTGATTCTCATCATTGATGTTTCTCTCTCTCCTTCCCACCCTCGCTCCCCTCCCTTCCTCTCTGAAATCAATAAAAATATTTATAAAAAGGCAAATGCATCTAATTGTATTTCAAGTGAAACCATAGCGACACTGAAGGAGAAAGACAAAAGTAATCAAGTAGCTTATGATCATTTGACTGGCACTCAGTCTCGGGCAGGACCAGGGTGAGGGAAGAACTGTAAGTAAGTGCTGAACTCTTTTTAGGACGTTTGCTGGGTTTGGGAAGCAATATGGTCAAAACAATGCCGACGTTATTTCAGATGTATTACAGGACCTGACAAATGAATAAATGTGTCAATGTGGTTGGGAGCCAGGGTTCTCACTGTGGAAGGAGGGATACAGAAATGTGGGAGAGAACCCTCTGGGATGGACTGGAACTGGAGGTATTGGTGTGAATTGATGATCTCTAAATATAAAGGGTGCATTTGTGTATGCAAATGCACATATTTCCTCTGTCTATTGAAAGGACCTAGAACCAAAGATACTCAGCAGTTATGAGCACAACGGGCACCCAGATCTTGGTCTCTAATACCATTTCCTATGAAAAGGAATCAGTAGTCTTTGGTGAAACGGCTGATTCAGGGGCAGGATAGGTACAAGACAAAACAAGTAAAGAAGGTCTTTTAAAAAACACACCCGAAAAATTAAATAAAAACATGATGAGGGCATGCCATAAGGATACAGGAGCCAAAGCAGTGCCTCTCACTGGCCAAATCTGTGATTGTTTGCCCCCAAAAAGTTATTAACTAAGGGTAGTAATAAATTATAAAATATTTTTGAAAATCAGTCCACACTCTTATAGATGGCAAATAAAAAGCACACGAGATAAATCACTAATAAGTGAATTCAAATAAAGGATAGATGTGCTATTCTTATAGCTGTTCACTGTGCTATTACAACATTTCTGTAGTTTGAAACACAACACAATTTTAAGGGTTTGGAAACTGTAACTATGGTAAACAAATGCAAATTTGCATTTTATGTATTCATTTCCGCTCACCAGCCAGATGGCAGGCTCCTTGCGGGAATGGACAATGTTGTCCATT